CGAACTAGGTAATTGAGTGGGTTCAGGTCAGGAGACATACTTCAATATTACATCTTCTTCAGGTACGAAACGCCCTTCCATTCGAAGTAGGCGGGAGTTTTTCCAAAACCCTTTGATTCCATGTGGTGGCACCCAAACCTGTAGCAGCACAAGGTCTCCAAGAAGGTACGGGCGACCACATGTAGGGAGGATATTCTTCTCGAGTTACTTGATGTAACCGCCAGCGTTCACCTTCAGTCGGGATTTACAAAGGAAAATATCGGTCTTCCCCATTCCAGGTACCCCGGTCCATACCATCAACTCGCGCCTCGGCGAATACGGTGAAGATGATGTCCTAGACCGTAGCGAAGTTGACGAAGCTGCTCGATGTGGGAGGTCTTGCAGATCAAGAGTACTGACCTCCAGGTAGCTATCTGTGGATGACTTCATTCAAGAAGTTTCGCAGCTGTTTGGAGGCGACGTGAATTCCAAAGGTGTTCTCCAGTCAGGCCGCGACTGGAGATGACTTCATATTTTGGCGTACATGAAGGCGATTGGCGGCAGCCTGCTCCAGCTTATAGAGGAAGATCTTGGGTATCTTCCACCTGGTACTCATATCCACTTCCCCTGTCTGGGCTGCGAAAACTTCGTTGATATGTGGCTCGGCCGAAATGACTTTTTTGCCCCCCCCCCTGTATAGTTACATAGAACCTCGTCACCTATATGCAGACTTCTAATCCACAACCTGTGATGGCGAGTAATCGTGGGCTTTGCCCTTTAATGTTTTCATGCGTACTTACTTCTTCTTCTTCGTCGTCGCTGAACAAATGTAGCTGTAACAACAGCCGCGACCATGAGCAGAATTATAAGAATAGCACCTGCGACCAATACTATTATTCTGAAAATACACAGCTGCTGTAGATTTTAAGCATTTCAGGAGTTCAGCGCTGCTTACATCAAGGCTTCACCTCCTCGGTTCCTTGAATGTCGTCGTCTCCCTATCAAATCACTGTCGCCAGAAGCGTGCCTGAACAAGTCACCATTTCATTACAATACTTCTTTTACAATCTTGAGAAAAAAAAATCACAGCACAATAGCCTTCTGCGAATCTGCTTCATTTGTGGAGACCAGGCCGTACGGCTGCTGCGGAAGAATGTTGTTTCAAATATTTGTTCTTTTCCCTAGAAAGGGGAAGAACAACCCGCGATTGCAACCCGTAATGACAGAGTCAATTACGAGTAGAGAAAAAGTATGAGAAATTGTTCTTAGTTAGGCTCATAGTGCAGTTAATAACTGGACGAGTATGAGATGGTCTGGATCAACTACAATATGCAAAAGGCAGCATACAGACAGAAACGCAGGAGGGAGACCAGAAAACGGCGGCCGAGATTGCGCAACAACTTTACCAAGGAGACGCGAGTAACGTATGCGGGCCATAGGAATACATATTCGGTACCTAGGGGCTTAGTATTCAGGCCTACCGCGCGTTGCTGTCAAGCTCATTCTCTTACTATTCGTTCTCATCAGTAATCGAAAGTTTATAAGTAAAAAAAAAGCTATTTTAAAAAAACTATTGAGTGCATAAAGTGCCACATTATCCAGGTTTTCGGATCTCCTCGAATTTTCCTGAGTTTCCTGTTTCAGGCAAACTACATACCCACCCCCCCCCGGCTCGTCGATCCACGTCACATATAGTAGGAAAGTGGCATGAATCATCTCTAGTGCTATCACCAAGTGATGACTGAAGGAAAAGTTCGCTTACTGAGACTTTGATACTTGGCAGTGCAGTGGACATAGATGTCGTGAGAGTGTTCCCTTATCTTTTCTTATCAACTTGATAAAATTGCTTGTCACCCGTCATCAATGTCGCTATCCACCAAAACTCCATAATTTCGTGGATAGAGGCTCCAGCATCTTGACTGAACAACAATTCCAACGTTCTCTAACAGCACTATCAGCTGTTAGCCTCCGTCGCCATCCCCACCTTCCCACTTATAGTACTTTCTGAAATCAACGCCTAACTGAGGCTGTGTCCCGCGTTATGAGTATATTGACCTTCCCACTCGAACTCCCCTTATCAAAACTTATCAGCAGCTGCAGTTTTTGTCAGATACCAATAATATTCCTGTGCCATAGCCTATACCATACCTTGGAACAAACGCCCTACCGTTCCAGTCGGATCGCCGGGGTCTGCCTCATTCCCTTGCACATGCTCAAGTCCTACTGAGCACGTGCAGGGTAAGGAAGCACAGGGAGCGGGGGGCCTCCCCGGCTCCACCCACCCTGCCCCGCACGAGCACACGTCCAGCTGCCACGCCAGCAGCTCGTGCAATGGCTCGGAGTGTACCGAATGGTTGTCTTATATAGCGCTGTTATCACAATCAAAACATTGGATTGATACATCCGCACCAATCGGTTACCGGTTTGCCTAGCGGGCGTTTTCTCTTCCCGCAAACTCAAGCCCGTGATGAAGCCCTTTTGTGGATGGACAGACAGGGATATATACATGCATACATACTTACTTACAAACATGTAGGTTGGAAGGAAAGTCTTGACACTGTTTTGACTTTTTTCTCTTTTTATTCTCTAACTCAGTATACAGTGGTAATTAGTCAACAATATACTCGTCATAGTTAGCCATTACGGTGCTCCACCCAATGAACAGGTAAGCATTCCCCTCCTCCGAGAACTGAGAAGACTGCGAGTAGAGAAAGTCAGCGCCCCCTCGACTGATGTCATTGCTGAAAGTTTTCTTAGCTATGAAAGCGTTAAGGAGGCGGAGCAGGTAGCAGTCGTAGGGAATACGTCAGGAGAATATTACGAGCGTTGACTGGTCTTCCAGCCTTGCTCCTAAATTATTTGGTAGGTCTTCATAGCAGGTATGGGGTCTCGTGTACTACGAACGAGTGACCCGCTACTTTAGGCCCGTCATTTTCGGCTACTATCATCTATTACTACCCAGTTTTGCGAAAACAGCCGGATCTTGATCGACTTTTTTCTACGGGGGTGGATTTGGCTGAAAGTTGGGTTCTAGGGGTAATTCGACCTCCTGAACACGAATATCACATCCACTTGGCCTGAAATTGCCTGGCGCCCGCGCCATAGGCGCCAGTGATTTGGGGCATTTTGGCGCCGGCGCCTGTGGTGCGGGCGCCAGGCGTTTTCGAGAGGAGCGGATGTGATATTCGTGTGTTCAGGAGGTCGAATTACCCCTAGAACCCAACTTTCAGCCAAATCCACCTCCGTAGAAAAAAGCCGATCAAAATCCGGCCCGCTTTCCGGAAATCTGGGGTAGTAAGAGTTGAAGTTTTGCCCAGTTGCCCATTTTTCTTCAACAGCTTTCACTCGTTTCGCGAGTTGAGCGACACAAGTTATGGCGGTGATCGTGTGTTCTTAGAGCAGCTATTTCCGCAGCATCCCTCTCGCGTCCCAGGAGCAGCACAGGAGAACCTTCTCGGAATACATGCCCGGTTTGGACTGCTGGAGAGGATCTTCTCTGTGAGAGAGACACACGGTACTGTGTGGGTTGGAATCATAGAGGACCCATCTCTCATCCCTACTAAGCAGTCAAATGGAGACTCCTTCTGACGGAGCGGAGAAGGGGACTGATCAAGGGGTACCCGGGTGCACAGCGTGCCATCGTCAAGGTATATGTGATCCATCAAGCCACTACTTTTTGGTAGTCAGGGGCTTACAGGCGGTGCACGACTGTCAATTAGGTACATCCGAGTCTAAGACGGCTGGTGATAGCCTCAGGATCCCCTTTGTCTGCTTCAAAAATGGTGGAGTCTTCCACTTCGTGGGGCCGTCCCAACCGAGGTTTGTCTTCAAGGGTTATGTCTCCTTTCGCAAAGCGAGCGAACCAGAGGTTGACAGTAAATCATGTGGTATGGTGTTCCTCCGCCACTGCACTGCTGATGTTGCGGACAGCTGCCGCTGCCCCAGTGCCGCGGGGCCACGGGTGACGGATTATTGGTACGACCAGCCTAATTTAGAGGTAGCTGGCACCCGGCAGCAGACAGCCTTAATGAGGTGCGAAGACTTGGTGTCTATCTGCGAGATGACCTCATTAACGAGAGGAGGCTTAGAGGTCATCCTGTCACCCACATTCCTTCACAACGAAAGCAGAAAGATCAATAAATCGAGGAAAGCAACCAGTAAAATGCAGATTCTCTTGGAAAAAAATGTTGTGGAAGAAAATATTGGTATTGTACACTTCAAATGCATTAGTTACAGTGAGTAACCAGGAAAGTATGGGACCTCTGGTATTCAGGATTTTCATTTTCAAATACCACTAAATAGCGTCTGAAAGTCGGAAAATGAACATTACACTAAAAGGGTTCAGCCCACCGAAACAAATACACTTATTTGTTTTCAACAAACTCTTCACTTCTGCAAATTGCTAATATGCTGCTGCCCTCATTACGGCGAATTCGTAGAGGGGTGACCTTCTCACACCTCTTTGAAGATGACCGACTATTACCTCCATGAACTTCAAAGACCTCTAGTCAAACACAACACCTCTGTGAGAGGTCATTTACTGGTATATGAAGCTAACATGATATGTGTTCTCACGCAACTAATAAAGTTGTATTCGGCGTTGTATTTATCGCATCTTCAGCCCTCTGTTCGACGTAATATGTCTTCTCCTGGGTTCTACACCTACCTGGACATCACTACACCCCCTTCATCTTCGACTGGAATGTTCGCCCCTTCACCTTTGTATGTATCCCCACCTCACGTGCACCCCTCTGCACCTCTCACATCTTCGCACTACACTGACCAGTTTTCATCCTTTGATCTCTCCCTTGCACCAACACCTTCACACAGTCAGACTCTGTCTAACGCTCTCCCCTTTGCACCAGCACCGTATTACGTGAGTGATACCCCCCTCCCTCCTACACATTCCCTTTCGCCAGGTACCCAGCAGACGTCGCAACTACGGCAGTTTAAAGGAGAACGTCAGGTAAGCAAACAAGGAAGACATAGTGTTCTTATATACAGAATTCCAGGGACACAATATGCCTATACGTTTGCGAAGCACCGCTCAAATAAGAACGAAGACGTTTATCGCTGCGTGCAGTGTAGAAAGGAGAGTAGAAATCGTGGTGAGGATGTTCTGGGAGACACTATCAAGGTGGATTTTGGAAAAAAACATTTCTATCATACTTCCAGCAAACTTTAAGCATCCCTCGTTCAGGTGGTCGGTGATGAATTCCTGACAGATCCATGTGGTCTCTTCCATGACTGTCTCCCCGAGAGGTACTCGACAGAGAGAGGGACTAGAGCGTTTTTCGAGGTTAGCCTTCGTCAGCCTAGAATTACTAGCTTGGCTGGAAGTGATGCACTTTTAGGAGCTTCAGAGCGTTAGGCAAGACTCGGCATATGCTACAAAAAAGCCTGTCCAGATATATTTTGATCTAATAAGTAAATCTCGAGATGCAGATGATGGTACTGAGTCATTATGTTACGGTTTTCTCCCTAAGCTAAATGTTCGTGTTGCAGAAGATATGGAGGACGCTATCAGGGCAGCCATCAGGAAATCTGGCTATCAGCTATCAGGCGCGGAGACGGCAGATATCACAGAATTTGAACAAGTGGGTGGATCGGTCGGTGACAATGGAAAATGTCCCACACGAATTTCGGACTCTTCAAGATGGGTCGCAGTTTCTCCAATTTCACGAACCGAGATTCCATATATACTATTCTGTGCGAACCATCGAGGTATCGTTCACATTTATAGCAGTCCAGTAATTCTGAACAGATAAGATAATTTCAGATGGCTCTTGAAAATGGGCTTTATGCAATCGTCGCGGATGGTGTGCACTCACTGCACCCGAAGAGCCTGGGATACCAAGCACAACTGTATTGTGTGCATGGAGTTTGTAGCCGAGAAGTGGACCTTCCGCTGATGTTCTGCATCACGGAAAAGAAGACGCGTCGGGTTTATAAGAAGATTTTTGAGCACTTGAAAGCGAATCTGCGAGGGGAAACCCCTCGACGCATAGTGCTCGACTTCGAAAAGGCAGCTATTCATGCTGCCAAAATGGTCTTCCCTACCGCGTCTGTGGAATGCTGTGCATTTCATTTGGCCCAGGCCTGGAACCGAAAAAGGAACGCACTCACACTCAAGAAGTACATCCAAGGCCCCGAAAGAGATGCTCGCTTCGTAAAGTGGTGGGAAACGTTGAAAGGTTGCATCATTATTTTTCTGTAGTTGCTACGATTATGAGTACAGATATTCTTAGTATTACAGGAATCGTTTTTCTCCCACAAGGGCTACTGCGGGATGTACGAGCCCTGCACAATCCTCCAGTACCCAGCGACCACAGTGCCTATGCAGACTGCCAGGAGTTCCTAGATTATTTGAGGACTATCTGGATTGACGGACCATTTAAAGGACTGTGGTGCAAATGGGGTCTTGAGGAGTTGAGAACTACCAACTTGGCTGAGGCCTTTCACAGGTGAAGCTGTCAGTTGCCAAGTCTGCCTCTAAATGCAAAGTAAACAAAAATTTTTCAGGCGGGTCCAAGTGCTTGCATCGGTCCACCACCCACCATTGAGCATCTTGATCGATATTTTGAAGAAGCTCAATTATGAGGCTAAAGCTGCTCTCACGCGCCTCAAAGAGGTAAGCATCCCGGGAGCGTAAAGCAAATTTTTATCGTTAGTTTCCTGTGAGTTCTGTTGCAGAATCCTGACGACGCTAGAGCATTACGAAGGAAGCACATGGAGAGGAAGGCAAAGATTTCCGAGGAAATGGCAGAGTAAGGAAATTTTTGAATGCAGTTCTGTTTACATGGCTATGGTTTCAATTTTCCAGATTCAATATCATATACCAACGAGGACCTTCTCAAGACGAAATAGAATTGTACTGCAGGAGAATGTCACATTATGTGACTGACAAACCTAATTAACAGCACTTGAGTTTTTGTTTTACCCTGTTTATAAATGATGAACGAATAAGTATATTTTTCTATGGAAGGCTATTTCAATAAATATTTCATTAATATTATTTCTAAAATTATTATCTTTCTGCTTTCGTTGTGAAGAAATGTGGATGACAGGATGACCTCTGAGTCCTCTCTCCTTAATGAGGTCGCTTCGCAGATAGACACCAAGTCTTCGCACCTCATTAAAGCTGTCTGCTGCCAGGTGCCAGCTACCTCTAAATTAGGCTGGTCGTACCAATAATGGCTAACCCCGGGGCCACTGATAGAAAATGATGACCCGGAGATGGTCCTGTGAAACTGACATCGTAATTAAACCCAGGGAAGAGCAGGCGCCCTCACACGCCTTGCAGGAAAGCTCCCAGAGTGTCCTACAAGCATAGCATGTTACGTCATGTACGAGCATCGAGAATCAAAAACTGTAAGCTTTTCAAAAAACACTGACAGGACTTTCCTTCCAACCTAATACAAGCGGACAAAAGTTACTGGTTTATAGAATGTGAGGATACCAGTCGGATCGCCCGGCTGACGCCGAGCTCTCCTCCTTCTCTTTAGCTCGGCTTCGCCGAGCTGGCCTGGCTTCGCCAGGCGCGCATAATGGAAACGGAACTCTTTCAATCACTGGGCTGCTCATACGGCGCTGTAGTGGTCGAATCATAACAGATAGAGCAACCCTGCGGATCCTGCACTCCTTAGCAAACGCTTATACTTGCGGTCCGCGCCATAACGCCCATACAATACATAGACCTAATATACAGGGGGGGGGGCAAGAAAGTCACTTTCTTCATTGACTTTCGAGGCGCTATAAGTTACACTTTATTAAGTTCCGATAGGATACTTTATCAAGTTTCCACCACCATATTGGAAGAGCATATAAATACTATCATGACACTCCGCCACAGCCTTCTGGACGAGCGCCATCGAGAGATTCTGGCGCGATGTGGTGCCTGAGATCAGCGAGATAGTCGATTTTTCCGTTACTTGAGAGTACTAGTCTCCAGGTAGCTATCCATGGGTGACTCCAGCTAGAAGTTTCGCAGCTGTTTGGAGGTGACATGAATTCCAAAGGTCTTCTCCAGTCAGGCTGCGACTGGAGATGACTTCATTTGGTGTAAGGTGATGGGCGAGAGCCAGCTCCTGCTTATAGAGGAACATCTTGGGTATCTTCCGCCCTGGTACTCGTATCCACCTCTTCTCAAAGGATGAGTTCTACCTGACCCTGGACGGTTCCGGAAGAGGACTACCTCACCATAGCTGGGGATCTGAATGGCCATGTGGGAAGTGACAGAAGGGGTCTAGAAAGGGTGCACGGAGGTCAAGGAATAGGGGCAAAGAACGCTGAGGGAGAACGGATCCTTGACCTAGCCACAGCCCACGACTTAGCAATCTGTAGCACCTTCTTCGCGAAAAGGAGGACTCAGAAGATAACCTACAGCAGTGGAGGGAGACAAACGGAAATCGACCATGTCCTGGTCAGAAGATCGTCTCTCAAAACCGTCAAGGATATCAAGGTACTGCCTGGGGAAGAGCTGGGCCCTCAGCACAGGCCTCTCCTGGCAGACATCGCCATAGACCTCCCCAAGAAGACGAGGGTGAGAGCAGAATTCGGTGGTGGAAAATGCGCAAGGTAGAAAAGGATAGCCTCGGCCGAAGAATACTGGAGGCTGGGCTCCCAGACCCACATGGGCCAGTCCAGGACACCTGGACCACGCAGTCATCCTACAGTGTGCAAAGGAAGTCCTGGGAGAGACGCGAGGTGGTATCAGAGGAGACAAGGCAGCCTGGTTCTGGAACGAGGAAGTCCAGGGATCGTCAAGCAGAAGAAGGAAGCATATATACCATTTTCACTTTAAATTCACCCTTTTTCAAACCAAATTCGTCCTTTTTCAAACCAAATTCACCCCTTTTCAAACCAAATTCACCCTCACTTTTCATCAAGTTAACCACACTTATTAGGGCGGGCAACTCATCAACCAGATCACGCCAGACATCACGAGCCCCGCCCCGACGGCCACGCCCACTTGTCAGCGCGGACATAGATTCTCAAATCTTGTTTCATAACTTCTGCTTTTGCTGTTTCCCACAAACACTTTGACTGGAAACCACCGTGCATTCACACATGGCCGACTCCGCCCATTCTCTAAAGGGTTTGGCACTCTAGGCTGACCACGCCCACTGGCTTTTCGCGGAATTTCGATGTTTTTTCAAAATTTTTGCATTTTAGGGTTGCTGCGTGAAGCCCCGCCCACTGTGAGATGCTCCGCCCACTTTGAATAAGCCCCGCCCACTTTTCAAAAATGGTGCAAATCGGCAGTATAGAGCCTTGGCTTGCATGCTAGGGTATTGCTGATCATTCGG